TTTTCTTGCATGTCCTGATCACATGCACCAGACAGAAATAACAAACAAAAGTCCCAAGCAGACGTTTACCTTCATTTAAGACTATGGTCTTGTAGGACAGCTCAGGCACAGCATAGCTTATACAGCTTATGTTCTATATCCTAATTGGAAAGGAACCATCTGGGGTCTTCAAAGCTTGAGAGGGGCCATTTGAGAGACAACTACTTGTCTGGAGCCAAAGAGAACGCAGGAAACGACTCAGAAAATGAACCAGACTACAAAACCAATGGCCGAAATGAGCTGCAGGCTCTGCTATTCAGAGACGGCAGCACTCGACATTGCCTGGCTCTCACTACTGACCCTTCTGACAGGGGCCACAATAAACGGCCCTGGATAGAGTGGAATACAATTGTAGAACAAAACTGAAAATCTTCAAATGGAACTGGCAGAGACATTTTTTACTGAACTAGCGGAGACCTGGAAAACCCCCTAGACTATGGCCCTCCCATACTCTTTACATTTTAACTGGGACTACCTCTGAAGTTACTTTGCAACTGAACAACAGTTTGGCACCATAAAACAATATCACCCATGAGTACCCGGTTCCTTTTAAAAAAGCAAACATTTGAGACGAAATGCTCAACCAAGCCTTTGTGTAGGAGGCTTGCTGGCAGAGTGGCCTCTGGGCACTTGTCGGCAGAGTGAAAGGGTTGTATTACTTGCCTAAGAAGGATAGAGGCCAAGAGGACACTAGCATGACCAAGCGAAGGGCTTCCAAACCTGCTCTGCAGGTGTGGCCTACCAATGGGGGATGCTGAGAAATCACTGAGAGCCGCCCCGGTTGGAAGCTGTCCTAATGACAAACTAACCCTGTTGTATTATTCCTGTTACTTCAAAGCCCTGGTCCTGATTATAGCCTGTTACATCACCTAATAAACCCCATAACAGTGGGGAAAGGAGGGTGGTGGAGCTTACCTTTTGATTTATTTATAAGAATTAATTAAAACAACCCTACGACCAGTGAAGTTATAATAGTTAACACAGACTTTGAACTCCACTGGTTACATTTGCTTCTGGCCAAACTGCAGTGTGGATTCCCCTCAATCTCAGCATCCCACATTCGAGGGGAACTGCAGCTTCTAACACATATCTCTCGCCAGGAACACACAGAATTACCCAATTCATTCTAAGCCATTCTCCATCCACTTTATTTGGGGAAACTTCTGTCATGAAGACATAGTAAATGAGCAGTGTGAAATCCCAGAGTCCAACAGAACGGAATGGATACAATAAGTAAGGTGGAAGTGAATTTGACAGAATGTAACCTGAACCACATTGCAAGCAGCACCTCTTATGATTTAATTCAATATATCTAGCTCCTACAGTCTTGATTCTCTTGGTTCCTCATTTTCATTATAGACCAACCTATTCCATCGGACAACTGATTCTAGGAAAAGGCCCTGCCAGGCTGATCAGCGTTATGGATTTTTCGCCCTGTCCTCTGCTGGGCAAGTGGCACCTGCATCTCTCTTCGGAAAGAGCTGTTGTTACTGTTGTTGTTGTTGTTGTTGTTGTTGTTGTTGTTGTTAGGTGCCCTCCAGGCCATTCCCACTCAGAGACCCTGTGCGCAACAGCAGGAAATACCGCCTGCTTTTGTACCATCCTTGTGCTGGAGCCCATTGTTCCCACCACGGGGTCTGTCCATCTTGTTGAGTCTCTTCTTTGCACCACCCCTCTACCTTACGCAGTCTGATGTCCTTCCCTGACAGCACGCCCAAAGGACTGAGACAAAGTCTCTCCCTCCTTGCTTCTAAGGAGCATTCTGGCTGGACTTCCTACACATCAGGGGCTTGGGGGCAGCCAGTAGTACTGTCAGTATCCTTCACCAGCACCATGATTCAAACGCATCAATTCTTCTTCAGCTTTATGTATTCAACACCCAGCTTTCATGGGCTTGTGTAAAAGATGACAGCAGGAAAGCGAGGCCCTCGTAAGGCTGCTTTCTGTTCATGGGTTTTTAAACCCTTGTAAATTGAGGGGAGCTGGGGGAGACCCCAGGGAAAACAGCAAGTCCTCAGGAAGGAGATGATTTCAAATATATTCATATTCAAATATAAGGGTGAAGGTATTCACCCAGTTTATTAAAGATTTCTAAAAATTCTTTTGTGTAAAAGGATGATTCCAAGTGTTCCTTCCTTTGCAATTTACCCATGCAATAAAATGAATTAATAAAAGAAAAAGAATGAAACCAAACTCTAAGCGTGAAGCAATTCAGAGCTACACAA